ATAGGGAATGCCCAAATAGCCCACATAGTAGGTGGTGGGTGGGAGAGGTGGAGTATGAGCTAAAACTGGAAAGGTAAAATGGATTCAGATATATGTGACCAGTGGTGTCAACCTTGACTATAGACTGGAATGCTAACACACATGCACACGCGCACACACACACACACACAAAACTGATACCTGGGTCCCACCCCCAGAAGTTCAGATATAATTGCTCTGGGGTGTGGTCTGGATATCTGGATTTTTTTAAAGCTCCCCAGATGATCATAAAACGCAGCCAAAATTGAGATCCACTGCATAATGCTATGGAAAAAGCTGAGGCTTCTGCTCTTAATCACAACAGTCCAATCTCCATCCAGTACCAGAGATACCTTTTCACATTTTCACATCAGACCATGTCATTCCCCTACTTAAAATCCACAGCACTTTGACTGAAAAACAGACTTCTTATTATGACCTATTGCGATCTGGCCCATCTCTAAGACTACTGTGTGGCAGGCTGAATAATGCCTCTTCTCAGTCCTGCCAAAGCTTATAATCCCTGGAATGTGTGAATATGTAAAATTACTTGGCAAAAAAGAATTGTACAGATGTGATTACATCAAGGATCCTGAGATGTGGGGATTTCCCTGGATTATTTGGGTGGGTCCAATGATGTAATCACAATGGTCCTTATAAGAGGGACATAAGAGGATCAAAATCAGAGATGATAACACAAGGAAAGTAGAGATCAGAGACAGAGATGTGAATATGCTATGCTGATGGCTTTGGAAATAAAAGGGACCGGCCAAACCAAGGAATACAGGCAACCTCTCCAAGCTGAAAAAGGCAAGGACACAGATTCTCCCCTAGAGCTTCCAGAAGGAATGAAGCCTTGCCCATATCTTAATTTTAGCCCCTTACAACTCATTTTGGACTTCTGACTACCAGAATAGTAAAGTGTGTTTTAAGCCACTAAGTTTATAGTAATTTGCTATAGCAGCAATAGCAAACGTACAGTAACTAATCTCCTGCCAGACTGGCCTTTTTAATTCCTTAAACATGCCAAACTTGTGCCCCATTGGCTCCTTTTGCACTTGTAGTTCATTTCACCTACAACACCCTTTTCTCTTACCCCAATCTTTGAAAGACCAGCTTCTTCTCACTTATTCAGTAAATACTGAGTGCCTACTAAGGCCCAGGCACTGTTGTTAAGCGGTAAAGGCACAAAAGAAAAAAGACAAATAACTCTGAACCCTGGGAGTTGCACTTACTAAGGTGAAGAAGACCAGAGGCATAATAAATTAGGGGGCAAAATCAGAAGTCTGGCTTTTGACATATTAAG